ATGAGTGGTTTTCTCGTTTCAAAACAGGTGGTACGTCAATGACAAAACTTGTTCTGGGTGTCCATCAACTTTGTGAACAGATGAAAACATTGACTCAGTACATTTGGAGTTCATTCCCACAGGTCAGACTCTTGATCAAGCTTTCTATCTAGAGGTTCTGAAAAGATTGCATAACTGTGCAACAAAAAAGGCCTGATTTGTGGCAGACAGGGAACTGGTTTTGTCACCATGACAATGCACCTGCTCATGCAGCCATCTCAGTGTGCTAGTTTTTGGCAAAACACAGCATGTCTCTCTTGCTCCATGCACCTCACTCACCTGGCCTGGCTGTGACTTTTTTGTTTCTGCAAATGCACAGGGACATAAAATGACAGCGATTTGATAACTTAAGAGGTGAAGGAAAAATGAGGGAGGTGCTGTGAGCCACCCAAACAGATGAGTTTGAAAAATGTTTCCAAGAATGGAATCACATTCTTGACACATAATGACAAATGTATTAAGTGTAATGGAGAGTACTTTGAAGGTAATAAGGTTGCTTTGTAAAAAAATTACATATATTTGAAAAAAATTCCAGCTTTTGGTTACGGTGTTGGGCTACAATCCTTATGGTTGGCATCACCAGCAGCTCCCTGGGAGACTGGGCTTTCTACTCCCATAAACAACCTCAAAAACCCACAGGGGTTGATATGGGTCAGCATTGTCTCGAGTGGCAGTGAGAGAGAAGCTTACGGGTAGAATGGCTGGGACATATAACTCTTAACTTTTTGAGGAACTGCCTGTTTTCCAAAGGGGCTGATTCATTTTAAATTCCTACCCAGCAGTGTGTAATGTCTCCATATCCTCACTAAAACTTATTTTTTATCATTCCACCGATCTTAGTGGGTATAAAGTGGTATTTCATTGTGAAATTGATTTTACATCTCCCTAATGGTTAGTGAGGTGACATTTTGCTTCATGTGGTTCTTGGCCATGTCTATGTGTTTTTTGAAAATATGCAAACATTTTGTCCAAAGGTTGGGCTATTTGCCCATTCCTGAGTTATGAGTTCCTCGTAAGATATACTGAGTACAACTCCCATCTGTAGGTATCCTTTTAAACAGGTTTCTAATGTTGCGAAAGATTAACTTGTCTCTTTTTCTTTGTTACTTGAGCTTTTAGTGTCATTTCTAAGAAATCTTTGTCTGATCTAAGGTCACAATTTACTCGTTTTATCCTGAAAGTTTTTTTTTTTTACATTTAGATCCCTTAACCACTTTTGAATTACCTCTTGCATATAGTGCGAGATTAAGACCAATTTTCATTGTTTTTCCTGTGGACATCCAGTTGGATATAGCAATATGTTTAAAAAGACACTCCTTTCTCAATTATTTTGACATCCTTGTTGAAAAATCAATTGATCATAAATGGGAAGGTCTATTTTGAGACTTTATAAAAAAAATTAAAATATGTTGTGAATTAGGTGAAGGTTAAGATCATCAGTAGCATATTCAACAATTCGTACTTTTTTCTTTAGTTTCTGTGTTTTATTGCAAAGACCCAGTTTCAGCCATACTTTTTAAAAAGTATTAAAAAAGTTTTATTGGCATACACTTCACATATCATACAACTTAATCGTTCAACTATATTAAGGTCATCACAATCAATTTCAGAATATTTTCTTCTTACTTTTGTTAGCTCCAAATTTCCCTTCATTCTCCCATGCCATGTCACTATGAATCCAGGTACTATCTCTATAGAATTATCTCTCCTGGTTTCTTCTAAAGAAAATCATACAAAACGCAAACAGAAAGCAAACAAAAAACAAAAACAAAAAAACCAGCAGCAATGACTAGACAAAGCATAGAAAAATCTCAAAGTGGAAAATATTAAAAACGAAAACAATTTTAAAATGGGTCAAAAGGGAGATCAAACAAGGTATTACTTTAACCTAACCACATCTGCCATAATTGACTTTACAAGCTGTCTGAAAGCAAGGCTATTCACATCTCTGGACTACGTTCAGAAGGGATTCACCAGAGGCTTACTCCATGTGGGGACCCTGCAAATGGATTTGGGGTTTCCACTGCTGTCATCAGTAGCATTTGTAAAATTTAACTATTACTTCATTGGAATTTGGGCTTTAATATTTACGATCCTTGGATCATTCAGGCTGATATGCTTCTTCCATGTAGCACTGTTTAGTTGATGCCTCACTTTGTGGGGTGCTTGTATTAGGAAAAGCTTTTTAGACGTTATTCTTCATGATAGCCTGACACCAATGGTTTCTTCTCACCTTGCTATAGCACTCATGTCTTCAGTTCTCTCTTCATGAGAGCAAGCGATAAGCAAGGACATGAGGATTAATTGTTCTTAGATTGGGGCTAGAATAAAGTACCTGCCCCAAATCTATTCATTTATCTATGGTGTATAGGTGTCTCTATTTCACTTTGGAGACATTATCATTTTATGGTAGAGAACATTAAAATTCATCTCCTTGTGGCATGAGATAATTCTACTGGTAGTGTCATTAAGTTTGCCAATGGTATAGAATTTACAACACAGTTGAGAAAATGAAATTATACAAGTATAGGAAAGCTTCAGATATCCCCTAAAAAGGAATTTCATTTTCAAAGCTATTTAAACTTTTTTTTACAAAACCTTATCACCTTCAAAGTACTCCTTACACTTAATA